GGTGTGGCCTGTGTGGGTCCCCTGCAGATCAGCTCCAGGAAGACCCCTTCCCTTAACTTCCCCTGTGTCTAGAAGTTGCTTGCATTCCTTGGGTCCCAGACTCCTTTTGTACTTCACAGCTCTAACTTGTGCCTTCACCACCTCCCTCGAGTGAAGACCCTGTGATGACATTGGGCCACCTGGGGAGGGGGGCAAGATAATCACCCATTTCCACATCCTCAGCCACATCTGTAAAGTCCTTTTGTCATGAGAGGTGACACAGCTGCAGGTTCTGGGCTTGAGATGTGAATGCACTTCAGGGGCCTGATTCAGCACCGTGGAACAAACCCAGGACCCCATCACCTCCTCCTCGGAGCTGCTGCGTCTACCACAGGCTCACAAGCATGTATCTTTCCTCAGATCACAATGCTACAGGGGAGGGTGGTGCAGAAATGGGATGGGTAGCAGGATGGCCTGCCTCTGCAGCCCCACTTCCAGACTGCAAGATCAGAAGTGCCCAGAACACTCTAACAGAGGAGGGCTCCAGCAACATGGACACCCGCGTCACAGATGGCGGAGAAATGTGCACACCCAGCTGCACCAGTGGAGAGACCCCTGGACCGGGGAGAGGAGGATCTCAGAGAACAGGACACAGTGCAATGCCAGCCTCCCAAGGCAAGTGATGAAAGCGTGGCGTGTGTACAGCAGTTCCCTTGTCGCAGGGAAGGCTGAGGTCTTAGGTCCCAGCCCTAAACCTGTTCTGTACATTATTCCAGGCACCCACGCGGGCCTGACAATAACTAACAGTCACCCTACTAATCAAACGGGTCATTTGAAGACAGCTACTCAGTGGCTCACGGGTGAGTATCACGCATGGTGTGGATATACTGGACAAGAACAAGTCATAGGATGAGTCACAGCCTAGGAAGGATAGAGTGGGATGGTGCCAGACACCATCACACACCTCAGGATGGTGCACAATGGAAGACATAGGGAGAGGCTTGTCCCAAAGTGGGGAAAAAACTCATCAATTATTTACTTACGGAATTTTCCTTCAGACAGACCACAGCCGACCACTGGAAAATGCGTGGATGAGAAGGACCATGGTATTTTCATGCACCACTGAGGGGACAGGCGTAGCTCAAGATGTTGCACAGTGCCTTCTTATCCCTTTAACTAGGGCTTGCGTGCTATTTGACCACCTTAATGGGGACAGCAGGGGGTCGGACACTCTCCTGAATGGGCCTCTTCCCGGATGCACACACCCACCTTCCCATCGCAGGAGCAGGGATGCATTTAAAGACTCACATTTATTTCTCCCTTATATGTTTGTGTCCATGTGTTAATGTACATGGGTGTGTGCAGTGCCAATGGAGACCAGAGGAGGGTGTCTGCTCCCCTGGAGCTGGACTTACAGGTGGTTGTAAGCTGCCTGATGTGGGTGCTGGGAACTGAACTCGAGTCCTCTTAGCCACTAAGCAGTCCCCGTGCTGTGTTTAAAAGGTACTTCAAAGTGCCAGTGCTCCTTTGCCTCCACCAAGAGGGGCCTCAGAAGGGGTTCCCCAAGAGTTATGGCACCCCAGAGTTACTCTCCTTGTGCCTGTCCCCAGCCTTGCTGGAGTCATCTCCAAGATGGCCTGGAATGTCTGACAAGGATGCCATGGGCAGTGTCTCACTCACTCTGCTCTGGTGGGTGAGCCCTGACCTGCAGCTGAGGATGAAGCAACATGCATGACCCCGAGTCTCTGTCATCTTGATGGTGACAGTGATGCCCTCCAGGGATGAGTGCGCTTCAGTGGCAGCACAGCTGCTTGGGGCTCTTGCTGGACCCAAGGTCTGTCAGTTACTTGCCATCTCTACCCTTTCAACACAGGCCTCTGGTTACCTGCCTTGGTCCCCACATTCTAAACCCGTTAGGAAGAAGCAGGAGACACAGATTCATGCTTACAGCCTGCGGTGGTGGCTCATCTCCTGGATGACACTGCACTACCTCCCCACCTCCAACAGGACACTCTGGGCACCAGGGATCAGCATTCAGAGCAGTGCTGGGGTGACACCAGCACTAATGATGGGCTCAACCAGAGACTGGGCCCCACATCAGGGGCTCCACCATCCTTCAGTGCAGTGGTTCTCAGCCTTCCTAATGTTGTGACCCTTTAGTACAGTTCCTCCTGTTGTATTTGATAGGCCAGATATCTGATATGTGACCCAAAAGGGGTCAGGATCCACAGGTTGAGAATCACTGCTCCAGTGGGAACCCTTTCTTATAGAGCAGCCAGCCCTGGCCATTTGGCAGTGACAGTAGATTGCACATAGGTCCCTGCTGTTTTCAAGGCCAGAGTCTAAGAAGCTGGTTCCTGACGGCTAATAAGGGTCTGATGCCTCCTGTCTTTCCTGCCAGCCACATCGAGGCCAGACCCCACAACTAGCCACATGCCAGTAACCTAAGACTTCCCTGGAGGATACCAAGGGAATTGGCATACCTGTACATGTTACACATTGTGGGACACGTCCATCAATTGGCCTCTTTCTCAACAGACTCTGAAATCCCAGCTGTGTAAAGGCAGAATCAGGGCTATTTAATCTCAAGGCCATGTCACTGATAAGGTAACAGGACTGGGTCCTCTCTGTGAACTCAAATATGCAGAAAACAAGCCTGGGGTCAGGCAGCCAATGGGAGGGAGGCACATGGGTGTGCTTCAGGGTTTCAACAGACTAGGTTGGAGCCCATGGGTGTGTGTGTGGGGTCTGTTGGTGCCCAGGTGCACAAAGATACACACGTCTTCTGGCCATTACTTTCTGTATGAGGTAAGGGCTACGTTTATGTTTACCACGATAAGAACACCTAGAGCTCAGCAGGTTCCTAAAATCCCAGGTGAGCAGCCATACTTGTCACTCACAGTCACTTCCAGGTTGTGGTGGGAGCAGCATGAGAGGCCAAGCCTGGGCAGTGTCAGACCTCAGTACTGAGGTCGGAATTCTTTCTTTCAGCCTCTTGGAGCTATTGTGCTCCCTTCTAGACCACAGACACTACAGGAGACAGGAGTCCCACCAGCTGATACCCGCGCTCTGTACTATGATAAAGGTCGCCCAGAGTGAGCGAATCTTCAGTCGCCACAGGCTAAAGGCTGAGTGGTGCTGGATGCTCAGCTGGCCATCACCACCTTCCAGAATCTTCCAGATGGACACAGGATGGGGGATGTCCTTCTGTATGCTGTGCATATATGTTTCTCTTATTGGTTGATGAATACAGCTGTTTCAGTCAATGGACAGGCAGGATTTAGCCAGGTGGGAAATCCAAACAGGGATAGAGAAAGGTAGTGAGAGATGCCATGCAGCTGCCGAGGAAACAGGAGGCCCAGACATCACTGGTAAGCCAAGACTACGTGGAGATACACAGATTGATAGGAATGGGTTAATAATTAAGAGCTCTCCAATAAGAAGCCTGAGCCATCAGTCAAAAGTTTATAATTAATATGAGCCTCTGTGTGTTTATTTGGACTGACGGCTGTGGGACCAGGCGGGACAGTAACTTCCGTCTACAGACATATGTCCTCCTGAGGCCGCTAGCCCAGGAGTCCAAGGCATATGCAGTATCTCCCAGCCCTGGGCTCTCTAGAAGGAATGATAGAGACTTTCAGCTTCTAACACCTTCTGTAGCTGAGGTGGGAGACAAACAATAACCACTTCTCTGAAGGTCCCAACAACAAACCAAGTCACATACCACCAAAGTTAACCTGCGGAAACCAGCAAGCTATGGGACTTCCTTACAGAGCCTGGGCAGGGGCTACTGAGAGGAATGTGGGTGCTCTCCCTAAAAGGTCACTCTGGAAAGTCTTTACCCAGCATAGGTGTTGGCTTCCCCATAGCCACATAGATGGAGCCACTGCCCCAACCATTCCCCACCTGTATACTCCAGTCCTTCCCCCAAGGCCTAGAGACCTGGTGCAATCAGGGCAGGAGAGCATGTAGCTGTTTGGGATGGGGGAACTGGCTACTCAGGTGAGGGTCCCTCCCCACCCCACTTCTAAGGGAACGTCAACAACCAATAAGCTGAGTCGTGACCATCTTTTGCAAGCGGGCACAGGTGTTCTGGTAAATACGGTGGTGGATTGGCTCAGAGGATAATCCTGTACAATATCTCCATAAAGCTATTTAATAGGTGCATCACAGCGCAGCCAGAGGCACACACAGGCAAGCTCTGGGCTTCCTACAGGGCAGCATCCTTAAGCCCGAGAATGTGACTCCTGTGGTTCCCCTGTCTGCAGTCTCCTGACTCTCACAGACTGGCTGACACCAGCCCAGGCTCCCACACTTGCCTACATGGTTTCCCAGCCTGGGACACCTTCTCTAGGCCTGAGGCTTGCACACTGCACTGACACCTAGAGGAAAAACACATGCAATGCTCACCCACAGCCACCTCTATCACTGTTCTCTGGGGCCCAGTGGTCCCTCTGAACCTCAAGTTTAATGCCCTATAGCCTGAGTGGGGGCAGCTATTGACTCAAAATACCAAGTCTCATGTGGGCCCTCCCTGCCACCCACAGCTGTTCTGTTCAGAAGAGATGTCTCGTGGGGGCCATGTGGGGGCCTCAGTCACAGATCTGAGCCACTGAAGTAGCTTTCAGTCTCTTCCCAAGTCCCTGAGGCCGAGGGCACCAGCCAGCAGGTGTCCTACACATCATACCAACAGAACAGCAGCCGTCTCTGTCCATCAGTGGTGTATAAAAACACGCTTAGACACATACCAAAGACGAAAGGCATCTATCTCCCCTGCTCTGCAGTCTCCCGACTCCCTCCTGCCCTGTTTAAGAGGAAGCTGCAGGTGTCCCCAAGGCCCCTCAGATCATTTCCTGGCCCCACCTCTGTCTGCAATCACCTTCTGAGGATGTCCAAGGAACACCAAGACTCTGGGGAACAGATAGAGGAACACTGCACAGGCTCACACGGGGCACCACACAGACTAGCAGAGCAGGTCATGAATGCCTTCTGGTCCTGCAGGACACTCTGCCCAACCCTACCTGGATGCCGCAATCTCGGCCTTCTGCTTAGCGATGGTGGCTGCCCGCTCGGCCGCCTCCACGGCCCGGTCCACCTTCTCCCGGATCTTACTGGCACGAAGTGGGATGAGGTTCTTGCGCTTGCCACTCACAAGCACATTCTGCTTGTATTTCCCCTCCTCCTTGGTGCCGTCGGGGAAGGTCATGCACCCGTAGCCATGCCGCCGGTTGCTGACCCACTCGCCCTCATACTTGAGCCCGTCGGAGCGCTGGCTCACACCGAAGCCCGAGCGTTTGTCATTCTTCCACTCGCCCACATAGGTCTCAGTGGTGGTGGCGTCGATGTCGTCCTCGATGACAGCCAGCTCGGCCTCGGCCTCACCCAGGCTGATGGTGGAGTGGATGTCACTGGCCGTGGAGCTCACAGTGCTCATGCCCGCCTCGCTGCGGAAGGAGCTCTGCTTGCTTCGCTGACTGGCCAGGCTGCTCTTTGACTCAGACTTGCGAAGCTTCAGGCCGCTCAGCAGGGAGCGCCGGAAGAGCCCCTTCTTCTTGCTCTTCAGGATCTCTGAGTCACTGTGGGCCACCAGCACGAAGCCACCACGGGACACAGCTGGGCTGCCGGCCACTGCCGGGGAGGCATCCGGGTGCAGCGCTGCACCGTTGGTGTGCTCGCTGCGTAGAGAGTTGATGGACGTCCTCAGGGGCGAGCGGATGACTGCGGCCATGCCATAGGGGACGCTCTGCCGCACACCGTAACCCTGGCGCATGCCACCGACCCACTGGCCCTGGTACGTGCCTGGGGAGACAAAGGAGAGAAGGGTGAGCTCCTGGGGCAGGAGGTGTGTGGAACATCCGCATTTGCACGCCCCTCAGGGCCTCTCCATGGAAGTGAAGCGCAGGTGGGTTTACCTGGGCACAGAGGCAGAGGGGTCACAGTGAGGCTGTAAATTGACCTCACTGATGGTCATGTTCGAAGGCACCCCTGTCCTGTTTCCCATGGCCGGATTCTAAGACTGCAGTAGGGTTGGATACAGAGAGTCAGAGTCCAGAGTGACTCTGGGGAGCCTTCAGAAAGAGGTGAAGAAGGGGAGGGAGCATGGCCTGTAGGATGCTGAAGGCTGTGAGACTGTTAAGGGCACACCTTAGGGAGAGTGAGGTCCCCGCTGCTGCTACTGGAGGTGCCCCAGAAGTTTAGTCAGCCCACTCAGTGGGACACCCCAGAAGAGCATCAAGTGCATGGGGAAGGGACATTAAAATTAGCAGACCACAGTCAGTAGAATCAGGAGCAAAGAAGCATGCCCCTGTACACTGCTCTGTTCATAAGAGAACAACACAACCCTATGTCAATAATGATTAGACACGTGGAAAAACAGTGACATGGAAAAATAGCCAAGAAAAGTTAGACGTACTGATGTCACCATACCAGGGCACAACCTTGACACCACAAAAGTAAAAATAGCCAGGCACCAAAGGACAAAACCTCCCGGTTCCACATAGAGGGTGAGGCCCGAGGGGCTGAGACGGGAGTTCATGGCTAATGCCCCTTACTGGGGACCATGTTCCCATTTAGGTGATGGAGAAGTTCTAGAGTAGATCGGAACGACATGGTGGTAAGCTCGACACCACTGAATACCATGCTGGCAAGCTCCTGGTGTGCGCCTCGCAGGCTGAGGCAGGAGGATCACTTGAGCCCAGAAATTCAGAGTCAGCCTGGGAATCACAGACAAATTCTTTCTCCAAATAAGAAATGGTGGTTAGAATTGTAACATAAAATTATGAGAATGTGTGTTTGTGCACATCTGTGCAGAGAGGTGAGTTGGTGATGGCTGTCTTCCTCGACTGCTGTTCTCCACTTCGTTAACATTTAAAAATTTTCACTAAAAGTTTTAACTAAAATGTCCTAAAGGATTTAGTTTTTAGCTTCACTTTATGTGTGTTTCCCTGCATATACATCTGTGTGCCACATGCACGCGGTTCCCGAGGAGGCCAGAAGAGGGCATCAGATGTCCCAGAACTGGAGTTACAGGAGGTTGTAAGCCTCTTAATGTGAGTGATGGGAGCTGAACTTGAGGCCTCTGGAAGAGCAGTGCATACACTTAACCACTGAGCCTTCTCTCCAGATGTTCCACCTTCTCTTTTGAGACAAGGTCTCTTACTAACCCTGGAGCTCACCAATTCAGGTATACTGGTTGGCCAGCAAGCATCGGGGATCTACTCCCGCAATGCTGCAATTACAGGCATGTACTATACACCTGGTTTTTTACATGGGTGCTAGGATTGAACTCAGGTCCTCACATTTGTGCAGCAAGCATTGTACTGACTGGACAACCTCCCAAGCCCCAAGATGTTATAAGGCACTAAAAATAACAAGGGGACATTCAGACCCCTGCTCTCATCGTGCTCTGCTATTAATACATGACTCAAGGCAAGTTCCTGGACCCCTATCTGCAGAGCAGGCCAGTTGTACTCACAGTGTAGACCGAACTGGACCCAGCCCACTGCAGCAGATACCCCAAGGCAGACACTGGTATCATTCTGAGGCATCAGGTGTCAAACCAATGATTTCAGCACAACGTTGTTTCTCTCGTGTATTCCAAAGACAAAGCAGCCTAGGATCTTTCTTTTCAGATGTGAAATAACTGGAAGTCCACAGCAAGTCCACAGCAGCTGCCTCCTCTGGTCCCTCACCATCACCCACCATCCCCCCCCTCCCCGGCCCATCACCCAGGACTCCTTCCTCCTTTACAGACCTCAGAGATAAAAGCATGCATTATCAGGTATGAGCCAGGCAGCACCACCCAGGCCCCATGAACCACCATCACTCCCAGCCCTTCTCTCCTGACAGCCCCCAAATCAAGTGATCCTGACCTCACCAGGCTTAAGGAGACGGGTTAATTGAGGCTGAGTTCACAGCACGTCTCCTTAATACAACTGCTCCCACTCAACCCTCCAGGTCAACCCAGCTCATGTCTCCCTAGCCACTGGCAACAGACACCAGTCATTTGGACCAACTGTCCACATACTGCACTGGTCCAGGACAGCATCAGGTTCCTGAATGGCCCAGAATGTACCTTCCTGGCTACCCAGGCACCAAGTCCACACTGCAGGCACCTAGCTCTCTATTGATGTGTGTTTCTCAGCAGAGTACAGATGTCCATAAAGTGCCCATCTGCTCAGGGCCTTGGACAAATCTGCCCACAGCTGTGGTGTCCTCAGTGAAACACAAATGGTGGCTGACAGCTCAACCCAGTGACAGAACACATGCTTAGCACATGTGAGGGCCTGGGATCCATCCCCAGTATTACACAGAAAGAAAAAGAAAAAGTCAGGCACGATGTCTCATGCCTTGTGAGGCTAAGGCAGGAGGATTGTCACACACATGAGGCCAGCTGGACTACAAAGTGAGACACTATCACAAAAACAAACAAAATACAAGGAGAAAGGAAGACAAGAAAAAGCGGTCAGCAACATAGCAAGGTTGACTTCTCCAGAGCAGAGCCTGAGATTTGGCTATTCATGATGGTCACACAGACAGGGTGGGATCATAGAGAAGGGACAGGATGCAAACAGTACTACTGAGAGTACCTTGGAATCCTCCCCACCTAGAAGCAGGGACAGACATCTGTATTCCTGCATGGGTTATTGTATATATATATATATATGTATGTATGTATGCATGTATGTATCCGCAGATCTGGGTTGGGATGGCAGCCTGCAGGGAAGGCAGCTGACCTAGGGACCAGTCCCTCAGTCCACTGCCACAAGGGTTGGAAGCCATTGGTTTGAGGACCACGGTGGGCACCCTCCTCAGATGTTTGGGAGCCTGAGGATAAGGCTATATGGACATCCCTCCTGCAGTCACCCTACAAGGGCCTCCAACTTGATCTGTAGCCATTGTCATCCATAAAGGGCAGGTACCAGGCTGCCTGACAGCCCTTTGCCAACAGTGACCAATGGGATGCTCTAGGAGGCTGGAAGGATAGGGTGTCAGCTGTCTTGGCCAGCGAGTGCATGGCACCGAGGGTTCAAGCTGTGCCTTGTGGGCTTCAGCCAAGAAGTGATTTTCCCAACCATTCTTGGGAAAAGGTTGAGTCCATGTCACCCCGGAGTAAAGAAGATACCAGGGCACTGTCACAGCAGGGGACTGTGCCAGGCAGGCCTCTCAAGTGACCATTATGAACACAGTGGTGCTATCCCCAAGGATGGAAATCACTTGCTGAGCTTGTCCTTGAGAAAAGAAGCACAACACTCCAGGGCCTCAACCATGCAGTCAGGATTTCAGAGGAGATGGGGTGATTCCTACTGTAAGAGAAGTACAGCCAGTGTGTTAGGGATAAAGGCAGGATATGGGGGGTAGAGGAACTGTGCCTAGCATAGCATACATAGTAACACAATGTTCTAGAATCTTCTTTCCCTTACAGTGGACCTCTTCCCACCATTAATAATGGCTGTGTAATAGTCCACTGCATGGATGTCTTCTATTGCAGAAATCACTACCAGGTTTGACCTGTAGGTCCTACCTTATTTTTTGTTTTACTTACTTTATATTTATTTATTTATGGTGCTAAGGACCGAATCCATGGCCTCACACACATCACACACAGGCTACACACTGAGTTAAACCCTCACCCACTCGTTACCTATTTATAATGACTGGTATTCATACATAATATCAAACTTCATCCTTAGGACACATCCCTAGCATGGTCATAAGGAAGGTTTTTCTCAAGGTCTTTGTAAAGTTATCCTTAGAAAAGGCCACAAGAATGACCACATCCTTGTCATCACCAGCCACTGAGTGACACTCCAAAGCCTTGTGCAGCTCTGGAGAGCTATGGCTACTGGAGTTAGCTGTGGAGTGATGTGTGCTCACCTGATCCCTAGGAGAAGTCTGAACCCTGAAACCCAGGAATGGAGCTGTGTGCATATACACTCTTTAAGGAGATGAGGCTGGAAAAAGAGTGGGCAAGACAATGAGGCAGGAACCAAAGGTTTTACCCAGGAATCCCCAAGCTGAAGTCCCAAGAAAGCTCAAAAAGAAAGGACCAAATACAGACACGACAGCCTTCCAGAACATGAAGGCTCTGTGTGTCCTGACTGAGGGAGGACCCATATCACTGCACAGTGAAGGGAAGGACATAGCAGCAGGAAGTTTCTAGAAAGACACAAAAATGAAGCATACAAGGTACACATGCCAGTGGCACATACCTTTCATCCCAAAACTTGGGAGGCAGAAACAGGTGGATCTCTGAGTTCAAGGCTAGCCTGGTCTACATAGAGAGTTCTAGGACATCCAGGACTACACAGAGACACTCTGTCTTGAAAACCTAAAGTGAAACAAAAGATACACTGTCCAACAGACAGAATGACACAGGGCTGCACAGCTGTAAGGCTTTCCTGGTGTGAAACTGCGCCCCCCACATGGCACAAATTCTGAAATAAAATGATCTTTCATCTGCAGTCCACACCAACATGCCAAACAAGTGATCAAGCCACAGGAACTTGACCTTCTAGGCATCCTTTCTCAGAAGGCTAATGTAGAAGAAAGGAACCTGAGAAAGAGGACGACATGGTGATCAGTGATGGAGGGGGCACTCCAGGGTGAGGGCGCTGAGGGGACTCACAAACAGACCTGGCCTTATGGTTACAGCAGAGACTCTGACAGGTGTGAGAGAAAAGCTGCAGTGAGAGGTTTTCTGATTGAGCATCTGGAGGGTGGGGGAAAACTGACCAATGATTTAAATAAAACAATGCAATTTAAAAAAAGAGTCAATTGCTAACTCTTTTGTGCATGGA